AAAATTAAAATTTTGAAATGAAGAAGAAGCAATCAAAATGATAAGTGGAATAAGTAATTCTGGCTTGATAGTAACATATTTAGTTTTATATTCATTTATTAAGTATTTCTACTAAATTTGAATTATTTTAGAATAGTAATGCATTTTTATTGATAAATAAAATGATATAAGGATTAGAATAGAAAATAACCATTATCTAATTGTATTAGCAAAATATGAAATATTATGTCTGATAATATTCTCAATACATTTTCCCTAAAATTTTTAGTCTTAACTTTCCTATTTTAAATTTTAATTTTATCGCTTGATTCAGCAAAATTAGATTCTCTCTCTCCCGTATTAACTTAGCATTTTTCCCTCTTATTTTATTACTAATAGAAATTTATCAGATTCATTCTTGTAAGATAAGTGATGATAATTTAAATGATAAATCTATTTCTACTGATAAATGTCCCAAATGATAAGCAATCAGTTTATTGCTTATCATTTATTTAATTTCTTGACTATTTCATACTCTAATTTTTTTATTGTTTTTTTTTCCTACTTTCTACAATTACTTCCAAATAATTTAATTCGATCCAGTAAAATTTGCTGTTAGCTATTTGATTGCTTAAATGTTATTTTTCAAGTGCGAAATTTTAATGTTCGATTAAAATTTCTTTTATTCTTTTGAATTCATTTATTTTTCTTTAATAGAAGAAAGAAGAAATAAGATTTGATAGGTAAAATTAATAAATACTACAAATTATTGAATAAACTCAATAGCCACGCATATTTGCATATTTCCAAAGTATCATTTACGTCAGTTTTTCTCCTCAAATTGAGATAAAAAAGTTTTAAAAACTAAAGAACTAATAAAAAAAAAATTTATTTTAAATCATAGCAATAATTTTTGAAATTTTTAATTAATATATAATCTTTCATTTGCATATATGTATTATTACATAATATTGTAACCATCAAATTTCTTAAATTACTGTTAGAAAGTAACAAAATTTTTTTTAATGTTTTGCAGAAAATGAGAAGAGTTCATTTTAAAATTATATTAAAATAAGTGCAAAATTTAAAATTATATTAAAATAAGTGCAAAATGAGTTAAAATGAATAATTTTAACTTTTCTTTGCTTATTATACGTAAGAGATGAAATTGCTATTGGTGTGATAGCTAATCATGAAATGCTTCAGAAAATTGCTTCATACTTTTCAATAATAATGCAAATAGCTTAAGGTCACGGAAGTCGTGTTAGCAGGTCATTTCAAATGCTTTTAATATAAGCAAATCCAAAAGCTGAAGTGATATTTCTCATTAAGCATTCGATTGTTGAAATTGTTTTATGAAAAAAATTTTCCATTTTATTATGTATATAATATCATATTTTATGTTTTACCTCATTTCAAATTTATTCTTCAATTCATTTTTTTTTCAGTTATTCTCTTTCTTTTTTCTTCAAGAATTTTCTGATACATCTCGGGAATTAATTACGGTTGATAATTTCGATAAGCTTAGAATAGAAGTGAAAAGCAAAAAAGGAAGTTCTTTTCAATTTTTAGTGTAATATTTTCTGCTTGAGATAATTTCGGGAATTGTCAATAATGAATAGCAAATGGACCAAAATTGCAAGAGGGTGGTGTTTTTCTTTGATCTGTTAGCTATTAGAAGCTAAAGCTCAAAAACTGAGACTTTAAATTTAGGATTTTGTAATTGCTATAATTTCTCCTTAACTAACATTTTTCTATTCAATAGCAAGCATTCCTTTAAAATTTGTTATTTCCTGAATTTTTAATATAACTTTCTTGTAAAATTATATTTTTAAGTATTTTGCACTTCAATTTTATTTCAAGCTCTAGTTTTACCTAATTTTCTTGATATTTTTTTCAAATTATTACTATTATTATTATTATTAAATTGCAATTCCTTTCAGAACAATTAGCTATGGCTTATCATTTCGTTAGCAGCTAAATGTCTTTTAATTTCTTTAAACTTTGTATTCAATAGATAACAAAAATTCTTATTCTATAATTAAAATGAATTTAACCACTCAATGATTTTAAAAATTAAATGGTTAAATGGCAAATATGATACTTCTCTTTGTGTGTAAGTCTACTTCATACTGTACTGATCAAATGAGCAAAAATATGACACACATTAAATTTGAAAAAAAAAAAACTGAATGATTAAGTTGAAATTTTTTAAAATAGCTTATTTGACTTCTTTGATAAATAACATAAAAAATATTTATAAAAATATGAAAACAAATTATAAAAAAAAAAATCATAAATTATAAAAATGTAAAATTAATTTCTTAATAAACTACAAAAACAAATTCTTTTTAACAAATTATAAATAAATTATAAAATTTTATTATTCTTGCTAATGTCATTTTTAAAATCTCAACAATTTTCCTTTTCTATTAATAGTAAATACAAATTAATCTCTTTTACACATTTTTTATTTACTTTCCAACTTAATATTTTTCATAAATTTGTTAGAAATACTTGTTCATCATTTTTTTATAATTGATTTTTGACATCACAAAAAGATTGAAATCAAAATTTAAGCAATCAAAATGGATCTCATTAAAAGATTTGATGTTAGCAGTATGTGTGGAATGCGTCAAGTATGTTTACTTACTTTTAAATTATCGCATGAATTTCTTGCTAACTTTTTTTTTTTCTTTCCTGAAAAAGCAATTCAAATTTTATTTTGTCATGTCTTCTTTATATTTTTAAAATTGAGTACACGTAAGCGTTGATATGACTACGATGGTAACCATCGAGCTAATAATAATATTAATAATAATTATAATAATCACGAAAACTACTGAATTTTTTTTTTAATTATTATATTTATTTATTGTGGTAGTTCAGGTGTTTTTCTAAAAAATTTAAAATTAAATTACGTCAATAAGAGTTATTTTTGCATAAAATATTATTTTAAAATCAGTGACAATAGATATTTGTGTATTAATAGCTTAAAAAAAACATAGAATATGTTAAAGACATTTCATAAATTTATATAAAATCTACAGACTAAAAATTTTTTTTCATTTCAGATAAACATATAAATATATTATATTCTTAAATAAGTCAGTTTTAGTTAATTGAGTAATTAAAAGCTGAAGTTGAAATTCTCAATTATTTTATTTTTTTTTTTGTTTGTTCGGTATAAAATCAACACAAAACTTATGCATAATTAATTTACATCTTTAAACAAAATATATTTTGATATTGGCAGGTGAATTTCATTAACTTTTCTGTTTTCTTAGCTAGCAGTTGTGAATGTCAGTTGTATCAAAATATTTTTGAATTTTCATTTCAATCTAATTTTTAATCAGATTTCATTTTTAAATCATTATTTCATTGTTACCTTAATTAGTCTGTACTGAATTAAGTGAAAAAATTGATAACTGATAAAAAAACTTCCTTAAACTGTATGGTATCTGATTTATAGTAAAATTTTATTAATATTAAATTGTTTTTTTTTTTTTTTTTTTTTTATTTTTATTTTTACTTTTTAAATCAAATGAATGAAAACTCTAGCAAATTCTTATATTCTAAAATGTAGGAATTTTGAATATATTTTCGATATGGAAATAGTTTTCATTTTTTTTTGTGACTAAAATACAAACATTTTAGAATAAAATTATTGTGATTTCGAAAAATACATATGAAATTTGATTATTTTATTGTTATCATCCAAAAGCTCATAATACTCAAGTATTAATGAAGTATTACTCAAGTATATTTAATGGATATGAAAAAGTTAATTTAATTACTGTCATGTTAGCTAATCAATAAAATGATAACTGATAAATTATTATCATCAAATGATTGCAATTGTAGTAATTTTAATTAATAAATTATGTATTTATAAAGTTTAATTTGTTATTACATAAATTTTTTTCCATTTATTCAACAAAATTCATGAATCATATGAAAATGTAAATGATTTTCATGCATTTTCAATGTTAGATTTTTTTTTTTTTTTTGAAAAAACAAAAAAAAAATGGGAAATGTGCTCTTTTCTCATCGATTCTCATTAATATTATATTTAATGATGCATATTGTGGTCATTTTTTTTTGGGCAAATTCAAATTGTAATTTATTTTGATTTGAAATTCAAATGATTATTGATTAACATTTGTATTTTATTGATCAGATTTAGAAGTATTTCCTTAATGAAATTAATTCATTATCTATCAGTAACCTTAAGAGAGTATTATGATACTCCGAGATAAATGGAAGGAAAATAATAAAGTTATTAAGTTATATTACACATAGGTCAGTGATAAGTTAAACTATTGATAACAAACTTGTACATATACAATCATTCAATTATTTCTTATCAAAAACAGATAATTGATAAGTGATATTTGATATTATTAATTGTAAAAAGATAAAACCAATAGTATATCGATAGTACAGTATGTCTTTAGAGAGATTATTGTTAATATTTTTTCAATTATTTTTATTTTTCTCTTTTTTCTTTGAAAGAGAGAGAGAGAGAATTTTAAAATTGGATCTAATTAAAAAAATAGAATGATTCAATCAAATTTGTTGACAATGACGTCAATCACTGTAACTATGAATGATGAATTTATCAATTCAGTCTCTAAGGATCTAAAAAAAAAAAAAAAAAATAGATCGAAAATATCGTTCTGAGCACAATGACGGTTAATTTAAAAAAAAAAAAAGTAAATAAATAAAATAAAAATGTAAACTATAATAAAATTCAAATAAATTTAAACATTTTGAGCATACTGCAACATTTCACATTTCAATTTGAATAATTTCTTCTTCCATTTCATCTCAAAAAGTCGTCCATTTCCTACATTTACTCTCTCTTTTTTTTTTTTTTCATTTGTCGCATACATAAATAATGATGACAAATAAGCAATTTTGTTAAAATTTAACAAAAATTTTTTTGCATATACGGATTGGACAAAGAAACGATTCAAAGAATATAAATGGTTATCACAACATATTTCTTATCAGCGCTTATGCTGTTTTCAATTGCATTGATATCATCAACAGGTGCAGCTGTTTACAGTCCACGACGAATTGTATTACCTGATGATGGTTAATTTTTTTTTCACTTCAATTTTCAATGATCATATAATTTTAAACTGTGACTTGCCTTTGATTATTTCAATTCAGAAAATATAAACAAAAATAAAAAAAAAAAACAGAAACATTTGTAAATTTTTAATTGAGAAGAAAAAAAAGAATTAAGAAAAAATTTATTTTGATGAATTTAATGTGTTTCAGATAGAAAAATTGCTGAGTGAAATAAACTGTTAAAAAATAAAATTATTTCTTGTAAAAAAAAAAAAAAAAAATTAAAATATAAATATGCATTTTCAATTGGAAATTTTGCTATGGAAATTAATTTGTAGATGAAATACAACGAGAAATGATAAATGATTTGTTGCAAAGAGAATATGCTGAGCGATATCGAGAATATCTAGAAAAAAGTTTAGCAGGTAATCTTTTTTTCTATTTTATTCATCTTATTATTATTAATTCCATTAATCTAATTAGTATTGTATTTTATATCAAATTTTTTCTTTTCATCCATTTTCAACTTTGGAATTTAACAAACAAAAAAGCTAATAGTTTTTTTATTTATTTTTAACTCAAACTTTATGCAATGCTAATAAAATTGAAAGATTGCATATGGCAACTTTTTGAGCTATAATTAATTGTGGACTGAGATTTTAGAATAATTTTTCTTAGCAATCACTTAAAGTCTAGAAAAAGATGTTAAAACTTAAGTGATGAAAAGAAATTTAGCATATGATAACAATTTTATTTTATGTGTTGTTCAGCATTTGATAAATTTATATTGTTCGAACATTTCATCTATGAATGTTAGCTGCATAAAAAGCTGTTTTAAATTTGTCATCAATTTTAAGCTTTGCTTTCAAATTTGTTTACAGCAGCTTCAAAGAATAATATGGATGATATTGAGACACATGCCGAACTACATCCATCCAATAAGCGAGGACAGACATTTGTTAGATTTGGTAAAAGATCACAAAGTTCTGTTCGTTTTGATAATTAAAAAAGAGGGGTGAAATTCAAATAAGTAAGTTTCATTTCCTTTTTTCTTCATTAATTTCAACGAGTAAGGATATAAGTAAATATAATAAAAATTAGCGTTTTCTAATTCAAACAGAGTAAGATATTGATTGTAACATAATGTCTTTATCACAATATCTAAGTTCAATAACTGTAATATAAGCAAAGTGAAAGATCAAATATAAGTAAGAGTAAAAGTAAATATAAGTAAAAGATGTATGCTTAGTTGACAATTCTGTGAAATCATTTAACTACTAAGGTATAGTATCACTTATAGCTTATCTAAAGTATGATATATAATAGTGACACTGATAATGATGATAACACTAACAATTTAAGTACTATATTAGCAATAATGATAATGAATGATATAAATAATTTGTCTTTCAGTTACGAACAGCTGAAATACAACCATCTCTACAACAATCTCGACTGGGATCTATTTTATGCGCATTTTGAGTGCGTTTTTAATTGATAAATTACAATTATTCATTTTGATACCATTTAATCTTGTCATTTTCGTAAAATATTATTTGATTTTTGAATTCTGAATCTTAGATTTTGTTCATTAACTTCGATTCTACATGTCATAATTAATGATTGTAATCTTATCATTTGAATTTTTATTCTAAGTTTTCTTTTTCTCCCTCTTCTTCTCTTTGTTAATCATATATAGTAGATGAAATGAAATTGTAGTTAAATATGTCGATTACATGTTAAAAAAGATATTCCCAAATAACATATTGCATACATAAAGTTAATTAAATTAATTAGCAATTTATAAAGAAAGATTTTTTTTTTTAATATTTTCATTAAACTTTATTTTTTAAGCAATAAAAAAGCAAAAAAGCAATATTGCTAAAACAAGGTTAATACTTCAAATTCATTTCGGAAATTTGATGATAGCATGACAATATGGAATATTTAGCTTAGCTTAGCTTAGCTTATTTGACTGTCTAACATGGATGCATTGTGGCAGTTTAGTTCTGATTGAATTCAATCATTTTATTGCATTGAATATGTTTGAGTAAGTTACATTATCAGAAGATTCAGTGATAATCAATCTAATAATGCAAATGAAAGCTTTAATTGATGAAAATAGCATACAAAAAAGAGTGAAAAAAGAAAACAGAGAAAGAAAAAAGCCAATAAAGTAATAAAATAAAAAGTAACGATTTGTTCTTTTAGATTATCAAATTTAAAACTACTCTTTTAGAACTTTTGAATTATGAAATTTGAAACTAAAAAATGAAATGATATAATGAAATGAACTGATAACATTAAAATTTTCACTATTCTTAATGAATTATTCATCTATTAGACAAATTAAACATGAAAAGCAAGTTGGCAGTTCGAATTAACTTTACTGAACAGAAAATAATTCTACTGAAATACATTTTTTGACAGTTATTTATAAAACTTTATGAAGATAACACAATTAGTAGGAAAGGATTAAAGTTCTCTTATTATCATAGAGAAACGATAAGATAAGTAAAGTATGCAATTTGATTTCTGATATATCAAAAAATTCTACTCAACTAGCATTACATTAAAGCTAAGCAAGTTTTGTGCAGGAAAAATTGAAGGAAATTAGCATAGAACGATTGTGATCAAATGTGACTGTCAACTTTGATTGGGTTAAAAAGACAGGAAGAAATCGATATTTGGCATAATTCAACATTTTATTCTTGACTAAACTGTTAAAAATGAACTATCGTCATTTATTCGTTTTTTTGTTTTTTTTATGCCAATCTTATAATGCAAATTTTTGAAATTTTACATTTATAAATGATCTGAATTATTTGAAGAAGTAAGATGATTAATTTGTTTTGATCAAATTCGACTGTAGGTGGTTTGTAGGATAATTTATCTGCTTGAATATGATTTACTAAACTTTTGGATTTTTATTATAGTTGTCACAAAATGAAAGTAGATGACATCTTATGTCGAGTGTTATCAGTGGGTAAGGAAGGTGGTGGATTGACTAAAAATGTGCGCGAAGATGAGTTACTTGCTTTGTGTATGAAAGCTCGAGAGGTAAACACGGAAAATATTTAAAGTTTTTTTTTTCTGTGTAAAATTTTGGAACAAAAAAAAAAAAAATTCATAGTTTTAGAAATTTTCTGAAATGACAAAATATCAAAATATTATTGCTGCCATGTCAAACCACCAATTTTATTAGAAGAATTCGAAATATTTACATTTGCTGGAAGTGACGTCGATTTGAAATTTTAAAAATTCGAAAGGTCATACATAGTTCGAAATGATTTAATATTGTACCTGCAGGCATTTTTGAGTCAGTCTGTATTTATCGAAATTGATCCACCAGTTAGAATTTGTGGTGATACACACGGTCAATATGGTGATCTGCTAAGGCTTTTTCACCGCGGTGGTTTTCCACCAGAATCAAATTATCTATTCCTTGGTGATTATGTAGACCGCGGTCCTCAAAATCTTGTTGGTTCCTTCATAATGTGATCAACTATATTAAAATTATAATCGATAAAATAGTATGAAACAATGTTAAAAAAAAATATCCAAATATAAAGGCTTAATTTTTTGATGTAAAATTTTGAGATGAAAGTTTAAAATAGTATGTTAGAATACGAGATTTAATTAAAAGATTAAGAGCAAATTAGTTAAATAGGAGAAGTAAAATATGAAATAAGGTGGATAGAGTAATACTTAAGTTTTACTGGTACACGATAAAAAACAAAATATTCTACTCATTATATTTTGAAATCACAAAAACAAATCTAAGAGCAAAGTGAATAAGTCTAAGTTTAACTATGAAATAAACAATTATGTCATCTTTCTGTTCTGTTATCTCATATTGTCTATTTCTATCAAAAATTCTAAATTGCCATCAAAAAAAAAAAAAAAAAAACGAAAAAACAAGAAAGTAATGTAATAAAATCCAATACGAATTTTTCCATATTCAATTAAAAATTAACTTTTTGGATTTTAATTGAAATTTTCTCTGCAAATAACTTGTAGTAGTAACTTTTCAGGAAGTAATTTGTCTCTTATTTTGTTATAAAATAAAATATCCGAATAATTTTTTTTTGCTACGCGGTAATCATGAATGTAATACGGTTAATCGAGTGTATGGATTTTATGATGAATGCTTAAGACGTTACGGCTCGAATCGTCTTTGGCAAGGATTTCAGGTATGATAAACGTAACGTAGAGTCGGAATTTGATTATTCCGTTAGAAGCAAAAATTTTTTGCTTTTCCGGAAAATGATAGCTTTTGCATTGTACAGGATGGAATTATCATCTACTCATATTCCTGATTGAATTTACGGAAAAGATTTCTGATTTAGGATGTATTTGCTGTTATGCCTTTATGTGGTTGTGTTGGAAGTCGAATATTATGCATGCATGGAGGTTTATCACCACAATTAAAAGACTTCGAACAGGTTATCATCGTAATCTGAAATTTGTCCGATCGAAAAGTTCGATAATTTTCATGATCAGGAAGATGATCTCAAATCTCAAATCTCTTGCTAGTCTTGTTTTTTTGTAATAAGTGGAAAATTTCTCAGATGAAATGCAAAATTTTTACGGAAGTACTAAAAAAAAGCAAATATGTGCGTTGTTATCCATTATCAAATCTAAAAATATAATATTTTTTTTAGTAAAATAAGGATCAATTTTGCAGTTACGTAATATACAGCGTCCGTTAGAACCGGTTAGTCCATCGCTGGAAATGGATTTACTTTGGGCTGATCCGGTAGTGGGTATTCAAGGTTTTGAACCTAATTTACGTGGTGCATCGTTTGGTTTCGGTGAGGATGTCGTCATTGATGTTTGTAAAAGATTGGATATTGATATGATTGCTCGAGCTCATCAAGTATGAAAAATTGAAATTTTGAAATATTTTCTCGAAGAATGAATATCTCAGATTTTTACACCTCAAATATAACCAGATAGCACTTGAGGTAGTTGAATTCATAATTGTTGAATATTACATGTATCAAATTTCTGGGAATATTTGAAATGAAATGAAAATGAAGAGTGATGAAAATTTTGAATAGAATTGCAATAACTTTGAAAGCAGATCATTTGAAATAATATTGTGAGTTACTGGTAAATACTAAAGACGCTCAGATTTATTCGATCGAATAATAGAGCAAATTAAAAGCTAATTTTAGGTCGTACAGGATGGTTACGAGTTTTTCGGCAATCGCCGTTTGGTGACGGTTTTTTCGGCGCCGCATTATTGCGGACAATTTGATAATGCAGCCGCAAGCATGATTGTTGATGAAAATCTTGTTTGCTCGTTTCAGGTCTCATATATCTCCAAGTTAACAAAGAAAACTTTTACTAGTTCATCTTGAAATTTCCAGAAATCCTTCCTAGAACTGCTTTATCATCTAATTCTTCGACTATGAAAAACTAAAAACTGCTTGTAAAATCAATTTTAATTTAGATTCTACGACCTCAGGCCATGCCAGGGCAAACACGTCTCGTCAAAACTGTACGCAACAAAACTGAAAAGCTTTCTTCCGAATTATGATGCACATATCTGAAAAACTGATAGATCTATCAGTGATTTTAATAAATAAATACTCATTTATAAATAACTTTCTCGTTTATCGTAATCTCTACTTTGCAACATCAAAACATTTTGATTGGAATTTTATTAAATTCATTCGAACATTTTCAATATACATGCAATGCTGACAATAATCATAGGAACTTTTTGTATAATAAAGATTACCCGCAAAAGTAGACTATAATTTTAATGGTAATGTATGGAAAGAGCAAGAATAAATAATTCAAAAAATATGAATGCAACTTAAAATTGAATGAAATGGAAATGCAACTTAAAAATTGAAATGGAACTTAAAATTGAATGGCACTCAAAAACGACGTATTTACCATGGTTATTTGTCTCCCTGCTAACTTTCAGCAGTAACAAAATGGAACAAAAACAGTAAAGCCTGAAATTGATACAGTAAAAACGTAAGAAGTTGAAAGAATATACAATATACAGTCTCCTATGTTAAATTTGTAAGACAAATTATATGTAGCACTCAAAAACTACCCCATCTCATTGATTCATTCACTTATTCCATCATTATTATGAATCCAACAAAAATGATTCAAAATTTTTTAATTTTAAGTGAAAAAGGAATGGAATAGAAATAAATTAATGAGGATAGCTTCAACTGGAAGAATTGAAGCAAATATTAACATAATTAATAAGAATCTTGGCCACTAGCAAGCATTTCCTCTAAGTACTTTTCGGTGTACAACGACCGAACAACTTGTGCAAACAATTCACTCATATGTAGAATGTGATAATTTTGGACTTGAATAAAGTAAGGTTGAGCCAGTTGAGAAGTTGCTTGAAATGGAATATACTGCTTGTGTGAGCAGAATTCCTTGAATGATTGTGTACGACAATTGAGGACCGGTGCATTGATAGTATTTCGTGGTGATTTATTTGGAGCTATAGTTTGCTGAGATATATACAAATTCATCAAATGGCATATGTAACGCATTCTGGAAGTTTTTTTTTTTTTTAAAGAAAATCATAGAAATCCGCAACTATGGAAGAATATTCTATAAAATTTTTCGATACACAAGGTCTGGAAGACAAACAAATGACTCAACAATTCTACATGTTCAAATACAACAGGACATTTCTTCGAATATTCCAAAAACTAGGTCTTAATTTATTAAAATATGTGCTGAGATGGTGAATGTTAAATAAAAAAAAGAAGAAAAACTATTTAAAACTGTTAAATAATTGAAATTTCAGAAATAAAACTAACTTGATGGAATAAGGATGTTTTTTAGAGAAACCAATCAATGAAAAGAATGAGCTTGACTTCTCATCACTACTTACTCGTTCAAGCCATTCCAAATACTGCATTAGAAACTGATTGCCCTGTGTTACAGAATAATTATACTGTCGCAGCAATAATTTCTGCAATTTCTCCATTAAAAGTAAAAATCCTGCTTCATTGGTTACGTATCTGAAATGAAACGAAATTGTTTTGGACATCATCAAGACCCAATTGTTATTTTCTTTCTTCTTCCTTTCCCTTCTACCATACAGTCCTTCCTACGTTAAAATTTGCATTTTATAGATTTTTGAGAAAAAAATTACATAAAAAAAGTTAGGTAGTCAAAAGCAGACGCAATCCTTTTTCTTACTGTCGAAACGTTTATATCAACAACATAAATATTTAACACAAATTTAATTACAATTTCATCAAAATTCTACTATTAAAAAAAGTAAGAGTCTGATTACAGCATTATTTCAGCTTTCTTGGCAAGCAGATTTAGGATAATTTTGCCAGTCGTAAGTGAATCTTATTAACAATTGTGATCTAATCCAGGCTATTGTAACCATATACTGAGATCATGACAGTTACTAATATTTAGAAATAGAGAATTTTGGAATTAGATATTTCACTCACTACACTTTCAAAAGTGATACCTTGGTTTTATGGTTGTTATATAATCCAACAAAGTTCGTAACAATGTATTTTCCTGTTGCAATGATGCAGTTTCCATTGTTGTTAGCGATATAAGTTGTTTCATTATAAATGTATTTGTGCATAGTGGTAAAAATGCATTATTTTCAGAACTGAAATTGATAATCCGAAAGAGAGTTTAAAAAAATAAAACAATAAAAACTATATTTCATTAAAACTTATGTAAAAAGCATAAAATTAAAAAACAATAATTATGTTTTTTCCAAGTAGTGTGATATCGGTGATCCTACTATAGAGTAATTCACGAGCACTCACTAAAATTCCACTAGAATAGTTATGAGTTGAAAGCTATCGATGTCTCGGGATAATTAGAATACAGCGTAACATATCCTTATTTCAAAAACTTTAAGCAGTGGAAGAAGATAGTGAATCAAGCATTCACTGATTAGCTTCGAGACCATCATCAATTTTACAATGATGATTTATTGGCAGGTTGCATAAGTGTAACACTAGATCGACAAAAATTTCATTCATATATGTTGCATAATAAAAGAATCAAGTTTATAATATATATTCAGCAAATAGATTATAGAACCTACCTGGGTAAAGTGAAAAGAACTTGATCGCAATGGTCAGATAATACAGTCCATTTTAGTATAACATCCCATTTACATAAGCCCATTCCTTGAAAAAATCATAGCAATAACTATTATGAAACTGAGAAATAAATAAAACGTAACTATCTGCTCAGATATTATTTCAATGTTTCACAGCTATGGGCTGATAGAGTACTATTTATAAAACATATTTAAATATTTAATAATTATGCAAGTCTTAGGAAGTGAAAAAATGTTTTGCTGTGTTTGAACAAAGTTATACTTTCCAATATTATGTACTGTCTAACCATAACATCTGATACTGCCATATTATTTACGACGTCTAATCAATCGAAGTTTAATTAACTTCCACTGTAAAATAACTACATTGAAAAATTATCAGAAAACATACTTCCAAAATATGTTCCAATACATTTTTCGATAATTTGAAGACCAAGCGAAATCTGATTCATTTTTAACGAATTTGTAGTGGTATTCAGTAGTAATAAAACAGTCGAAGAATTACAATTCTCTTCTAACCATTGCAGTAAAACTGATGAAAACACTTCTAAAAGTTATAAAAATTATTTACTGTCTAGACATCTTATCATCATCGTATTTGAAAACAATAAGCTTCGATTGTGTAAATAATGGTTTTTTAAAGAGTATCTCAGAAGATTGCACATGTTGGCGAGAAGAACAGAAATGATGAAAACTAGCGGAAATTCACACATCGTTCATATGTCTATTCTTCTAGCTAAAAACTTTTCTACAAATTTATTCAGAAATAGTGTTATAGCACAGGGATGTTTCCCTTATTTCTCCTTCCCTATTTTCATCCACACTAACTTAATTTCTAGGATATGCAAGGTCACATGAATGTAACTATCTATATATAAAATGATATATAGCTATCTATATAAAATGATATAGCTAAATTATACGCTAAAATATTCGCACCATTACCTAAGAATTTATTATTAGATATATCAGACCAAAATGACGTCAATTCACGTGACAGATATGCCTGGTTTTCCGATGGCACTCCTGAAAAAAGGTTATTGACATCAATTTTCCTCGAAAGTTTTCTTCCAGTATTCAAATCTCTGTAACTTTTTAGTAACCAAACTTCTATCAACTGTTAAGAAATTAATGACAAATAACAGAAATGGAATACCTGTTGATGAAACGATATTATGAACAACTTTTATTTGGTCTTCATAAAAACGTTTCACCCATGTCCGATCATTTGCATTTCCCAGCATTAAGGTAAGTTGAGTACGAATATAAAATGACTGCTTCTGACAGATTTCTGCAGCCGAGACAAGATCAGCCGGTAATGTTCCAAGGAAGCAAACATGGCGGTATAATCTGTTCAATTAAAAAGAACTATTATATCAAACAATATCTAACCGTCACCAAAATAATTTGTGCAAATGTAACACCGACTTATTTTCAAAATATTCATTTGCACTAAAAAGTTGTTATAACATTAAACTATGGAAAAAAAATTAAAACCTGAAAGTGATAACATAATGTATTCAATATTTCAATGAATGAAGACAAACTCGAAGAAAGCATGCGTAACATCGTTCGGATCAGTCAGGACTACTACTGAAAATTTGGATGCAATACGAGATGAAATAGCATTAAGTTGTTGCACGTCAATTAAGTGCCATGGAAATGGATTCAATGAATTCATCAATTTTGGCAATGAAGCACGGCAAATCTGCAAGGAAATGGTAGCATATCAAAACAAACTATCTTGATTCGAAGTTTTTTTTTTTTCGTTTTAATCTATTGAACAAGTCTAGTAAATCAATTCATCTATCACTTCTTGTAATGACATGAGTTCGCTATCGTTTGACTTTTTTTTTTCGAATTCTAACATCAAACAAAAAGTCATATTTTGGAAAAAAGATCGTTAACCGCACAGAGTACAAAAAGTACTTGTGCGTTCCATGCGATGTTTCCAATTTTACTAAAATCAAAAACGAGAAAAGTCAGTGAATTATTTATTACTGATTCTGATTCACATGTTTTACTATCTATATGCGATGTTAAATAAGCAATTTTCTAAAATTAACTTAAAAAATTTTTTAAATTTCATTAATAAAACTTTGAAAAGAAGCGTACTGTATAATTGGATGGACGACTGATACAACTTGCTAATAGCGAAAATAACAATGAATAAAAAACACGATGCGCATCTAAAGGTTGCTGCACCTGCAATATTCAATAGAAAAAAATTTTTCGGATTGCTAATAAAATAAAATAAAAAACTTAAAATTCTACATCTTTAAGAAATAAAATATTAAGTGGAGGAAAATAATTACAGAAGACAGCTATAAGATTTAACAACATTGCATGAAAATAACCAGTAAATGCTGTAGAAAAACTAGAAAGGGAGATAAATGAAGCATATTCTTGAATTGTGTAACAACTAAGAATAAATGAAAAAAAATAAGTCA